ATAACTGATCATTTAACATTACTGCTACCCCTTCCTTTGCTCTAACTCTCTCAGATACTCCAGATTTAATCCCATTTATTTCCCCCCACTGAAACTCTCCTACCCCCTTCAGCTTTGTTTCGCTTAGGGCCAGGACATCCAACTTCTTTTCATTCATAACATCAGCAATCATCTGTTTCTTGTCATCCGCACTACGTCCACGCACATTTAAGCAACCCAGTTTTATAAAGTTTTTCTTCTTCTCTTTTTTAGTAATTGTATACAGGAGAAGGGGTTACTAGCCCATTGCTCCCGGCATTTTAGTCGCCTCATACGACACGCATGGCTTACGGAGGAAAGATTCTTTTCCACTTCCCCATGGACAATAGAAGAAATAAAAAAGAACAAGAGCTATTTAGAAAAAGGAGAAAAACCTAGATGTATGTATATATATATATGCATGTGCGTGTCTGTGAAGTGTGACCAAAGTGTAAGTAGGAGTAGCAAGATATCCCTGTTATCTTAGCGTGTTTATGAGACAGAAAAAGAAACCATCAACGTGTTCCTGCACTCTGGAGACAAGACAATATAGTACTTCAATATGACACTAATATAAACTGTACAGCTTATTTATCTATCACAATTCATCTAATATGATATAATCAACAATATAATTAACACAGAAACATGATATATACTGTAGAATGAATAAAATAGGCCATAATATGGTGGCAGAAGCAGTGGCGGAAGCGTCCTCCACTCCATTTCCTGTCTAACTTTGACTTTAGTATCTTCCCATGCTCTTATTGTAAGAGAAAACAGAGTATTTGTAAGGTTAACTGCAGAAATCTAATATATAAAAACAAATCACAATAAACTACAGAATGTAAAGAAATGTTAAACTGTTTATATAAAGTGTATATGTACTTACACACTTGGAGTAGGGATGGTGGAGGAGGTTGAGGGTGGGGGTTGTCTCTACATTGATACGGTAGAATAAATAAAGAAGAACACTCCCATTCTCATGTAACATCATTTTGAGAAGAAATGATGCTCTGAGTGAAGGCAATGGAAATAAGTCACTCTGACTTTTTTGGGTTATCCTAGGTTCTCTACACATATGTTGTTATGTATGATAATCTATGTAACTGTATTTGTGTGTACCTGAATAAACTTACATACATATGAAAGGAATAATTTTCTACGGTTACCCCCAGTAACACATTTTCTCTTATGTTAGATTAGAGAAAATGTTATTCTTGCCATCACTTGTACAAGTTATCTGGCTACCACATCTCATATTTATGTTTATTTATTCTATTGTGGGGTGTATTTATCATCGTTTTATGTTATGTATTGTGTTTATTATATAATTTTGAAAAAATATCATGGATGGATTAATGAAAATGTGTATATTAACGCAATATACGACATTTAATGAGACTCAGTGAGTATTATTATTATTTCTAATATGGCGTCACTTGTGCAAGTCGTCTGCTACCACATCTCACATTTATGTTTATTTATTCTACTGTGGGGTGTATTTATCTTATTTATATGTTATGCATCGTGTTTATTATATAATTTTGAAAAAAATATCATAGATGGATTAATGAAAATGTGTATATTAACGTAATATACGACATTTAAATGAGACTCGATGATTATTATTATCATTACTAATATGATGTCTGGAGACATAAGACACTCTTACCGATTTTAATGTGTACCTGCATGCCAGCACAGAATGTAAGTTTATTTAGGTACAGGTATACATAAGTATAATAATCAGAGTATATATAAAATATGAAATAACTTTTAAAAACATTTGAAATTTTGGAGTTTCCAGACAAAATGGAGAGACTTAGTGCTTACTGAGCTCACGGAGAATGTAAACAAATAGGGTGGGGCGCAGTGACCGTATTAGAAAGTCAGGTGGGGGGAGCCGTATAGCGAGTTTTGGTCATAATTTGAAATGACCGTATTAGTGGAACGCCGTAAAGTGAAACGCCGTAAAGCGGGGCCCTACTGTACTGTCCTTTGCACTTATTTTCTTAGAACCCATGGTTAGCAAAAAGGAATTTGGCCAAATGACTGTAAAAAAAAGTGCAAGCAAGCACGAGAGAACTGCTCCTACAGCGATGTAAACATGTGTACTGCTTACTGGATGTTTTGGCAATAGCTGTGCCACTAGCAGCAACATACTGAATTATGTATGTATTGTGTACCATTATTATTATTGATTTAGGGAACTGAAGCTCTATCATTATTATTATATTATTATTAATTATTATTATTATTATTATTATTATTAATTTTGGGAACTGAAGCTCTATCGTTATAATAATAATCATAATAATAATAATAATTATTAATAATAATTATTATAATAACGAACGCTGCCAACTCAGTGCAGTGTTTACCTCGCTGTGAGAGCAGTTCTCTCATGCTTTGCTTACATTTTTGATAGTCACTTGGCCAAATATCGGTTTTCTAAGCATGGGTCCTAAGAAAGTAAGTGTAAAGGGCAATGCTGAGAAGAAAAAGAGGATGATTTCCATGGAATTAAAGCATGAAATCATAGATAAACAAGTGAGGTGCCCAGGTTTTGCGTTGATGGGGAAGCAGGGGAAGTTGGCTCGTAACTCAAATGTTGGCTCCTAACTGAGAGCAAAAAATCGACCCAGGGACGGCTCATATCTCAAAAAGCTCGTACGTTGGGACACTCGTAAGTCAAGGTTCCACTGTATACCACAAAGTCTGGTTTTCACCATAAACATGGTCATTTTTTTTTCTCATTATGCACTGCATGCTGCAGGATTTTTTTTATATAATGCACACTTACCACATAGACCTATTCTCTCATATGGAGGCCCAAATTAACCAATCACAGTTTATCTGAGTGAGCTGAGCTCATGGCGACCAACAGTGGCTTCAAAGCCACCTTATCTTTTATGGACAATGTATGATCTATGTGCTTTACGTAACTAGAAGCATTTCTTTTATTCGTTGGAACCATGGCTAGGGCTAAAAGTAAACAGGTTATACTAATAAATGGAAAAAAAGAAACTGGAATGATTTATGCAGCAAGTAGCACCACCAAACAGTAGCGGTAGGTTAGTGGGGCGACCCAGGAAATTTTAAATTATGTAGCTGAAATTAGTGCTGGATTATTGATTGCCGGATTAGTGATGGCCAACCTGTAGTATAAAAGTTGCCTGGAAAATACAAAAAAATGGACAATGTGACAAACTTTCATTTAGATTATACAAGTAAGGAAACTATGAGGTTACACCGATGTGTCAAGTACACCAGCTCTGTTCATGGAGGGATAAAAATCTAAGAATATTTAGAAGCCATCAAAACATTAAATAAAGAGAGTCAAGAAAAAAAACCTTTGCTAGAGTTAACAGTATCATACCCATCTGTCAAACAAAATCTTGAGAACACAAGCTGAGCAGACAGCTGCCTGTCAAGAGTACATTCCTCAGGCTGCCTTCCCTTAATGTCATTTAAGAATTCTTTATATATTTTTATTGTAAACTAATAGCCTATCTCCAAATTCCTACGAAGAGGAGTCATTTCAGGAACATTCACTGATGCTCTTAGTCAGGATTGCTCCTCTACCTGTGGTGTCTGAGCCTAGAACTTCTCAGGCTTTAAAACCAAACTGCAAAACAACTTCCCCATCTGGGCTATGATTAATCAGTCTCAGTGCACCAGCACTGTCTCTTTTTGTTTTAAAAATCTGGGGCATTAGGTTTTATAAATGGACAGAGGACAAACTGATCTATGGGCTTTGTAAGTGATGAGTCAGTGACCTGAAAAAGAAACACTTTTACCGTCATTCACACTATTACTGTCTTACTAGAGGCAAGAAGATACAACAGTTAAGATATCCCTCTAAACAGCAAATATCCCAAACCCCTCCTTTAGAGTGCAGGTATTGTAATTCCCATCTCCAAAACTCAAGTCCAGCTAACCAGTTTCCCTAAATCCCGTCACAAACTGTTACCTTGTTCACACTCCAACAGCTTGTCAGGTCCCAAAAACCATTTGCCTCCACTCACTCCTATCTAACATGTTCAGACATGCCTGCTGCATGTCCAAGTCCCTTACACACAAAACCTCCTTTATCCCCAATCCACCATCCTTTCCTAGGGTGACCCCTACCCTGTCTTCCCTCCACTACAGATTTATACACCCTCCAAGTTATCCTATTTTTCTCCTTCCTGTCAAAATGACCAAGCCATCTCAAAACCTCCTCCTCAACCCTCTGGATAATACTTTTAGTAACTCTGCCCAAACTACGAATTCTCTGCATATTACTTACACCACAAATTGCCATCAGGCATGACATCTCCACTGCCTCCAGCCACCTCTTCACTGTAACAGTATGTTGGTACCACTATACTCTCATACATTCCCTTCTTTGCCTCCATGGATAACATTCCTTGTTTTCACAGATACCTCACTGCACCGCCCATTTTTTTCCTTTATCAATTCTATGGTTCACCTTGTCTTTCATAAACCCATCCATCTACTCGTCCACTCCCAAACATCTGAACACAATCACTTCCTCCATACTTCCTCCCTCCCTCCAAACTTCCTCCTTCCCTCCAATCCGATATCCAGTCTTTCATTACCCAACTCGTTTGGTACCCTCAACACCTTGCTCTTAGCTATGTTCACTCTCAACTTCCTTCCTTTATACACCCTCACAAATTAATCCACTAACCTATGCAACTTCTCTTCAAGGGATTGAAAATTGTATGAGGTGGAAATATTTTGTAGGAAAAATATATTATGAGTCAATGATAGAGTAACCTGACATGATGAATATGATTAATATGTACTGTGTGGAATAATCACAACAATTATTAATGCTAGTAAAAATGTGTTCACGACAAGTCATGGTAATAGAATACTTACATACTCTTATGACTGCAATGAGAAGCTATATGAAACTGATCTATCTCACCGAATACAGAAAAAGAATTAAAGGAAACAGTGGCTTCATGATGAAGTTCCTCTCTACAAAATGTTTATCATTCCATCTGCCAGTCATGTGCCATTTGTCTTCATTAAGTAATGTGATGTTTACACATCACTATCACCTGGCTGAGATGAGTACTTCAGGTAGCTTTAAAAAGGTTAGATAAATACAGGAGAATGAGTGGGTGTGAACAGAGCATTGCTCCTGTTTTAATGCTAGGTTCTTAAGTCTAAATTTAAAAAGGAACTGTTTTTATTGAAATAATATGTACTGTACATGGAAAAATACTGCTCACCTATGATTAGTGGAAAATCCCTGTGGAGTGGATGATGAGGCATGCCATGATGCTGAAGTGTGTCCAACTGAGCGGTGTGCTGAACCTTCAATGGAAGAGCTAACAGATCTGGGAGGTAATTCAGGTGGCAGTGATGAGGGAGGACTGCTACCTCCTAGTCCACCTGTTAAAATAACTAGTCAAAAGATTACATTCATAAATAAATATGCAAATATTTAAGAAGTTTTCTATTAAATTGCAAAAGGAAAAGCAACTATAGTATTAACCCTTTCACTGTCGGTGCCGTAGTACTACAGCTTGCAAGCCAGTGTTGTTGCTGTAGTATTACGCCAAAATTCTAGCAGCCTCAAATCTAGCAGGAGAAAGCTGGTAGACCTACATGTGAGAAAATGGGTCTGCATGGTCAGTGTGTGCAGTATAAAATAAAATCCTGCAGCACACAGAGCATGAGAAAAACAAAAACAATGACCATGTTTTTGGTTTAAAATGCAGACTTTGACATGTATTTTCATATGGTATTTATGGTTGTATTCTTGTTTTCTTGGTCTTATTTGATAGAATGGAAGATATATTACAGAAATAGAGATGATTTTGATTGGTTTCATGATGAAAAGTACCTCAAAATTGAGCTCAAAGAAGTGGAAATGTTTGATTTTTGCTGATATTCAAGAGTAAATAAACAATGTCAGCGTCCAACATGTGTCCAACTGGCCAGTCTAATATGCAGTCACGAAAAGGTTGACATTATTTATTCAATTAATACAATAATGCAGTAGTCTGCATAACAGTAAATCTTCTGTTTTTTGTGTGAATAAAAATTCAAAATGGAAAGCAAGAGTAATAGGAGAGGGGCCTGGAGATGTGGTTAATGAATAGAGAAAATGTTATTTTAGTGCCAGGAATATCTGCATTGTTTATTTTGGACTTAATTTTGAAATTGGCATCTTTTGAAATGTGTGAAACTGGCCAAAATGCCAATTTTTTACCACTTTATTGGGTAGTTAAAATTGGTAAATGGGAGGTTTCTTGTACTCAGTCGATAGAACAAATGGAATTCTAGCAAAATAGCTATGAGTTTGGTTGACTGTAACAATGAAATTGGCCGAAAATAGGGCTCAGAGTGAGCAAAATCGCTGATGCATATATATAGCTGAGACACTAACTTCGCAACAGTGTAATTCTGTAGGTTTATCATTAAATTTTGTACTTTTGGTGTCATTACCCTATTACCATCAGGAAAAGGTTCTCTATCATTTCATAAGAATCTTTTTTTTTTTTTTTAAATTCTTCAACAGAGAGAGCAAGTTTTGAGCAGGGGTCTCGACAGTGAAAGGGTTAAAAACACACACACAGCCAGGAGCTATGACTCGACCCCTGCAACCACATATAGGCAAGTACACAAACACAAATAAAAAAACAGTGCCACAAGGTGAGGTGACACTAGATAGCTATCGTCTCCTGAAGCCTCCACACAGGAGTATTTTATAGAAAACTTTTAGTGAGATAGCACTGGTGAAAAGTGAAAGCCAAGATCAGATAAGCCAGACAATAGCAATACAGCAAGGAGAAATGGACTCAAACAAATCCAAGAAAGACGAAAGCTAGGCAAGTCAAACAAAATGGAGAAAAAGGAACAGAATAAATGAAATAAAATAAACTACCACCTCATTTATTATAAACAACTTAAAAGGACAACAACAAAAAACTCCAAGCTACTGAAAAAAGTTTTGAGCAGAAAAATAAATCTTTGGCTGCACTGAACCCATATCAAAGACAGAAAATAAGAAAATACTGTATGTTAAAATGGTGAGATTACAAAATGTCTAGGAAAATTCAGAATTGTAGAACATTGTAGGATGCATCATAAGTGTATTTAAAAATAAGAGACAGACAAGAACTAATATGCCTGGGTCATACAGAATATTTCTTGTGTTAGGAACACAATTTTTTTTTTTTAACATGATGGCTATCTCCCACTGAGGCAGGGTGACAAAAAAAGAAACATTTTCACCATCATTCACACATAATCACTGTCTTTATAGAGGTGCCTATATATGACAGCTTGTATGTCACTCCAAACAACCAATATTCCAAACCTTTCCTTTAACCCTTAAACGGTCCAAACGTATATACAGCGGACCCCGGAGATTCATGATTAATCCGTTCCAGAAGTCTGCCGACTGGTGAAATTCACGATTGGCGAATCTATTTTCCCCATAAGAAATAATGAAAACCCAATTAATCCGTTTCAGACAGCCAAAAGTATTAACAAAAAATAATTTTTTTAAAGATTAAATACAGATTTACATACAGAAAAAATGACAAATAAATATAAAGCACTAATAAAATGGATAAATGAACATTTAACATCACACTGAACCTTTATTGATTCTTGTTGGTGTAGGAGGTAGGTAGGAGGCAAGAGGAAGGAGAGTTTATTATGCTTCAATATGATGCTAATATCATCTCTACGGCTTATTTATCTATCACAATTCATCTAATATGACATTATAAACAATATTAATAACAGAGAAACATGATATATACTCTAGAATGAATAAAATATGTCATAATGTATGAGAGGAGTAAATGGTGTTAAGTGTCGTTGTTGGGTTTAAGGGCCGCCACTGAGAGAAGCCGTGTTGGTGGCGGTGGAGGCTTTGGTCACCACCACACTTAAACAATATATGTAATTTATAAATAAGAAATATTTACATTTTAATTTATAAATAAGTTTATTCAGGTATACACAAATAAAGTTACATAGATTATCATACATAGTAGCATATGTGTAAAGTACCCAGGATAACCCAAAAAATTCAAGAGTGACATATTTTCATTGGAGTCCTTTTATATTTACACTTATACAGTGGACCCCCGCATAGCGACTTTAATCCGTGCAAGAGGGCTCATTGTTATACGAAATGATCGGTATGCGAATGAATTTTCCCCATAAGAAATAATGTTAATCAAATTAATCCATGCAAGACACCCAAAAGTATGAAAAAAAAATTTTTACCACATGAAATATACATTTTCCTACACACAAAGAGAAGGATACATGCACAATAGTAGAGTAGTACATGCACAGTATATATTGTGCATGTACTACTATACTAAATGAAGAATAAATGACACTTACCTTTATTGAAGATGCAGCAATGACTGATGAGACACTGTGTCCTGGGAGTGCCTTTTCCTCCTGAGTACTGTAGGTCCTGTTTGGCATTTTCTTCCAGAACAGGCCTTATCACACTGTGTATGCCACTACGATTCTTAAATCTCTCAAACCAACCTTTGCTGGCTTTAAATTCACCAATATGAGCACTAGTTCCAGGCATTTTTCCCTGTTCACCTGGGTGTTAGTCGACTGGTGTGGGTTGCATCCTGGGAGACAAGATTAAGGACCCCAATGGAAATAAGTTAGACAGTCTTCGATGACACTGACTTTTTTGGGTTATCCTGGGTGGCAAATCCTCTAGGATTAATTGTTTCTTGGTATTCTCAATAAGCCACACCAACAACGGTGCAACAGCAGCAGCTGACAGTGCTACAGCAGCAGCAGACGATGCTACAGCAGCAGCAGACGGTACTACAGCAGCAGCTGACGGTGGTACAGCAGCAGCAGCAGCTGACAGTGCTACAGCAGCAGCAGACGATGCTACAGCAGCAGCAGACGGTACTACAGCAGCAGCTGACGGTGGTACAGCAGCAGCAGTAGCTGACAGTGCTACAGCAGCAGCAGACGATGCTACAGCAGCAGCAGACGGTACTACAGCAGCAGCAGACGGTACTACAGCAGCAGCAGATGGTACTACAGCAGCAGCAGCAGCAGCTGACGGTGGTACAACAGCAGCTGACGGTGGTACAACAGCAGCTGACGGTGCTACAGCAGCAGCAGCTGACAGTGCAGCAGCAGCAGCAGCTGACGGTGATACAGCAGAAGCAGCAGCTGTACCACCAATAGTAGCGATGGTTGATTGAGGTTTATTATACAACCTGGCCAGCTCGGAGACACGCACTCCACTTTCATACTTATCAATGATCTTTTTCTTCATCTCTATAGTAATTCTCACCCTTATTGCTGTAGGGTTGGCACTAGAAGCGTTCTTGGGGCCCATGGTCACTTATTTTTCAGATAAAATCACCAAAAACACTGTAATAATACGAAATGTTTCGATTGTATGCTTGGATGTTACCGCGGAGGCTGGCTGGTAAACAATGCCACCGGCAGCACATGTGAGGCTGGCTAAGGGCGCACATTGGACGCGTCTTGGACGAACAGCGGTGAGCGGGTTTTTGAGCGGTATGCGAGGCAAAATTTTTGTGATAAAAGCGAGCGGTATGCAGATTAAACGTTATGTGATGCCGACGGTATGCGGGGGTCCACTGTATTTACTTTTATACTTACACTTTTATATTTACACTTACCTTGGAGGAGATGTTAGTTTAATTAGTTAGTTTCAATCAATCAATCAAGTTTATTCTCTACAAGGATTACAATGCAGGGTTTACAGATTTTGAATATTGTGTGGCTTACATGTTTTAAAATACTAATTAGAGAGGGGGCCACTAGGACAACTAGCATGGCTAGGCCTTTCGGGCAGACTTAGATTAATTCTAAACTTAAATTATTACAGATTATGGTATTAAGGCTAAGTGACTACATTATAATTTGTGAGTTTAGCAATGTGAATGCTTTTGTTTTGGCACAATACATAGTGTCTATATTGGAGTATCATAGGCAAGATTATGACTAGTTAAGATTCATCATTTTAAGATTAAGATTCGTATTTCTGTGTTTATAGTTAATGGGTGAGTGAGTGTAAGTGTGAACCACCAGGTGGTTTACATGTAGTTAGTTGACGGGGTGTATCAGGGAGATAAGATGTTTTCTAACTGTAGTTTTGAAAGTGATGAATGTGTCTGCAGTTCTAGAGTTTTCAAGTAGGGTGTTCCAGATTTTAGGCCCTTTGACACACATTGAATTTTTGTGAAGGTTTAGTTGGACACGGGGAATGTCATAGAGATGTTTGTGTCTGGTGTTATACCTGTGGGTCCTGTCACAACTATCAAGAAAGAGTTTTAGGTCAAGGTTAATATTGGAATTTAAGGTCCTGTAGATGTAGATTGCACAGTAGTAAGTGTGGATGTTCTGAACAG